CTGACTTTGGCTCAGGTCACGATCTTGCAGTTTGTGAGTTCAAGTCCCACGTCTGGCTTTGTGCTGACAGCTCAGAGCGTGGAGCCTGCTTCAAATTCTGTGTCTCCCTCTCTCTCACCCCTCCCCCACTCACACTCTGTCTCTCTCTCTCTCTCTCTCTCTAAAATAAACAAACATTTAAAAAAATTTAAAAAAAAATCAAGCAGATCAGGGAAAGGAGCTAGGGCATTTGCAAGTGGGCATATCCATAAATAATATGACAATTACAGTCTTAACAATAGTTTTTTGCTTATGACATCCTGTTGAAAAGTAAACACTTGGGGCGCCTGGGTGGCTCAGTCGGTTGAGCGGCCGACTTCGGCTCAGGTCACCATCTCGCGGTCCGTGAGTTCGAGCCCCGCGTCGGGCTCTGTGCTGACAGCTCAGAGCCTGGAGCCTGTTTCGGATTCTGTGTCTCCCTCTCTCTGACCCTCCCCCGTTCATGCTCTGTCTCTCTCTGTCTCAAAAATAAATAAACGTTAAAAAAAAAAAAAAAAAGTAAACACTCAGGACAATAAGCATACTTGTTACTTTTTCAAAAGATTGAAATATATACTGCATAAGTCAGTTACGTTACTGTTTCAAATACTTATTTAATGACAAATTAGGGATAAATATAAGACTTCCAATTGATAGAGAAATGATCCTTATACAGTCAAATTCTTTATTTATGGATTTCCTTATTAAAATGTGTTTGTGACCTCAAAATCAATACTTGTGACCCTCTCACGTTCATTCGTGGACTTGCACAAAGCAGTGAAAATATTTGAGTAGCAGAATACACAGATTCCCAGCTGAGCTCAAACACTGCAATGCTCTGCATTCCCTTCCACTCTCATGCTCGGCTAACTAGAGAATGGAGCAGTAGGGGGCAGTGCAGCGCAGTGCAAGAAGCTCATCTCCGGGGCCAGCTGCTAGAGTTTGAATCCCAACTCTGGCCCTTCTTCGTGGGGTAGCCTCAGGCAAGTCACTTAGCACCTCTAAACCTCGTGTTCTCTTTTATCAAATAAAGAAAATAGAATCTACCTGGATGAGTTGTTTTTAGGATTTAATATTGTTACCTATGTGGGATATGCATCCTATATTATACACACATATACTTCCCCTAGGAGAAATGATTCGTTATTTGCCATTTCATGGTTTTCCAGTGACTTGTTCCAACTTAAAACTACCATGAATAACAAGAATCAACTGTACTTACTTTTCTTCCCTGGTGAAAGTATACAAGTATGATTTTCAGATGTTTAACAAACCTTGCTTTTAAGATAAACACTACCTGGTTGTGAAGTAATAATATGTATTTTACATATTGCTAGAAATGATTTGCCAAAGGTGTGAAAAGGATTTTTGTATCTGTGGTCGGTAAGGGAATTTTTTTTAATTTTTTTAATGTTTATTTATTTTTGAGAGAGAAACAGAGTGTGAGCAGGGGAGGGGCAGAGAGAGAAAGAGACACAGAATCCGAAGCAGGCTCCAGGCTCTGAGCTGTCAGCACAGAGCCCGACACGGGGCTCAAACTCACAAACCACAAGATCATGACCTGAGCTAAAGTCGGCTGCTTAACCAACTGAGCCACCCAGGTGCCCCAAGGAATTTTTTTTTAAATGTGTAATCTCCCAAATTTATGAGCCTGGGAGAAGAGATGACAAGGCATAAATCTCAACAGTTTTAACAAAGATGAGTGGCAGCTGACAGCAGACGAAAGAAGGCTGATGCACACAGGTGTGTGTTGTTGGAGTGGTGCCAAGAACAGGCGAGTTTACACTACAGATCCGCAGACGGCGCGGAGCTGTTTCAGAAAGGATCAAGAATTGAAAATAGCAGGTATTCAGGAGCACCTGGCTGGCTTAGTCAGAAGAGCAGGTGACTCATGATCTCAAGGTCGTGAGTTCGAGCCCCATGTTGGATACAGAGATTATGAAAAATAAATAAATAAACTACAAAAAACGAAGAAAAATAAAAAGAAAATACAAGGTATCTGAAAATTAAGGGTGCTAGAAATAAAAAAATTGAATAAAAAGTCCTTAGACAGAATAGTCAATTTAGCCAAAAATGGAAAGCTTACCCTCTAAAGAAAGTGAATGAGATGTGCCTAGATTCAGGAGTTCAGAGCCTGCTAAATTTGAGAATGAGGCTCCACACCATAAACAGGGCCTCACAATTAAACAAAGAGACCCTCACCTGCCCTTTCTTTTCCTGATTTCAAGTTACTAGAAGATGATGGTTTCATGCTCCCCAGAGAGGAGTTTGGCAGATTCCTCTGTAGAGAAACTGACAAGCCCAAGAAAAGGCATCTTGGATTCTGAAATTTGAGGGTCCCCTGATGAAACATCTGGATGCCTTCCCTCCTTGCTGTGAAGCTTCACCAGTTTACAAGCTTGCCGAGGCACTGTTGTGGGTCCCCCCCACCCACTTAGCATGTTAGTGACTTGTTGTAAAGACAGACAACAATCAACAGATACTGTACGAAAACCTTAAATGTGAAAGCAGAGGCCAAAATGAAGAAACAGAAAAAAGAACCTGAAAGAAAAAGATAATTGAAGGAGAAAAAAATCACAAATTGTCTCCCAACCCAGAAAGAGAAAATAGTGCATCCGTGAAACAAGAATGAAACCTTCTGTAAAAAGAAATAAAGAAGGAATAATAAACAGGAAAGGCTGCATAATAAAAATGCAATACCTCTTTGAAAATTATTGGGAATTTCATCATGGGAGCAGCTGAGCATGAAACCGAGTGTGGGGCCCTTCTGAGCACAAGGAGCTGTGTGGTGACCCAGGTGGAAATAAGAACGAACTCTTGGAGATTAAATATAGGTTAGCAAAAACAAGAAAATTGAATAGAAGAGTTGGAAGATAAAGAAGTTGGGAAAAAAGATGGAAAAAAAAATCAAGAAAAGAAGATATTTTAAGAGATTTGTGATGTCAGTGTAGTCAGAGTTCCAGACTGAGGACAGAAGAAATAGAGAAAAGGAAATAATGCTGGAAGTACTTCAAGGCAAGATCCCAGTGCTGCAGGACATGAGTTTTTGTAGGTTTCAACGGCCAAAGCAAGGCACGTGGTCATGAAAATTTGAATTACCAGGAATAATTTCCTGAAAGCTTTTAAAGAGAGATAAACAAAAGTAAAACAAAAACTTGGTCATGTGCAAAGCACTGGAAATCAGAATGGCAGCAAATGCAAAATGTTAATTTAGCCAGAAATTGTGACAAAAAAAAATTTTTTTTCTGAGACTGGGGAGAAGACAAGAGGGTAAGAAAAGCTAAATTTTCACCTACTATAGTAAGAAGTCACTGGATGGTCAGTCTCAATGAAAAATCAGAAAATGGCCAGATAAGCATGCCATTTAGATATTTGGAGGTAAAACAGACAATTTTAAAAAATAACCTATATTCAGTATAAGAGTCAAAGACTTCTTGAGTGCAGGAATCATGGATTAGGGAAACGGACTACTTTTTTTCCAATACCAATTATGTAGCTTTTCACTATGTGTTAATCGTTTAACCAGTACAGTTAGAGTAGGTATGGGTGTGTACAAGGTTGGCGTGGGCCTCCATAGATGTGACACTAATGCTTCTGTTCTCTCCAGATTCCAGGTACATTCTCCTGCCTGTCGTGTTACATCACCTCCACATGCACCTGCAAGAACAGAAGGACCTGATCATGTGTGCACGAATCCTTAGCAACGTATTTTGTCTCATCAAGAAAAATAGCTCAGTGAGTAAATACAGATCATAGTATGTAGTTCCCATCAAATGGCTTCTGGAAATAAAAACTCTCAAGTTTTCAGAGAAACCACACTGAAGACTAACCCTCTGAGACTCTCACTTTTATTTCCAGCTGGGTTGGACATTTTGCTATTCTTCTGAAATATTTTTTTTAACCTTGTGAGATTGCTGTAACCCCAAATAACCTCCTCAACTTGTATTTCAAGAAAGAACTGAATACCCAGTGAGAAAAATTAGAAATCTCAAAGCCTCCCACATGTGTCTTTAATCTTGATATGATGAATACTCTGTGGCAAGAATAAATTACTGCCTGTAAAGTGAAGTCTTTTGGGGCCCATTCTGTGGAAGGCTGCATGGTAATGCTCAGAGCTTGGCCATGGCCCTTGGGCCCATGGCCCTTGGGTCCCACAGAAATCGTAGAACCAGGGGCGCCTGGGTGGCGCAGTCGGTTAAGCGTCCGACTTCAGCCAGGTCACGATCTCGCAGTCTGTGAGTTCGAGCCCCGCGTCAGGCTCTGGGCTGATGGCTCAGAGCCTAGAGCCTGCTTCCGATTCTGTGTCTCCCTCTCTCTCTGCCCCTCCCCCGTTCATGCTCTGTCTCTCTCTGTCCCAAAAATAAAAAATAAAAAACGTTGAAAAAAAAATTTAAAAAAAAAAAAAAAAGAAAAAAAAAAAAAAAAAAAAAAAAAAAAAAGAAATCGTAGAACCAGAGGAAGGGCCCAGGAGACCAAGGATGTCTTGCACTACAGTCATTACCCAGCCCCAACAATAATACTGAATTGTCAGGGGCTTTGGGAATTCCTGTGGATGTACCTGACTCTTGGTGCTGTATAGTTGCATTAGAAGATACAGGGCAAATAGCAAAAAATCACATGCTTACTTAGAAATGAGGACAGTTCTTTGGATACTCGTGTTCATGGCTCATGGGACTGATGTGAAATCCACATGGAAAGGGTGTCCTGTTCTAGTTCTGTCAGCCTGCAGCCGTGAATTGGCATTTGCTCATCTTTGACAGCTTGTACAGAGCAGTGCTGAGACTCCTGTGCCTCTGCCTCCCTGCCATACACTATATAGTTTCCCCATTGTTGTCTCTCTTACCTAGGATGGCCTTCTGAAGGGCTCAGCAGTGAGCTGGCTTGGGACCCCAGTGGACGTATGTGAGAGAGGGCCCCCGCACTGTGGGAACAAAGTTGACACTTGAGAGGAGAAGGGCGGAAACTCTGTGTATAAAAGTGTAATAAGATCTGCATGGGGAGGGACGACTGATTTTTCCACATCCCCGTGATCCCAGGCCCCAAGGGTGATCTGGGACTGGGTCGAAGAGTGACAACAGGGAGAGAATGATAGTTTTGCTTTAAAACTTTTCTATGTCATTCAGTAAAGAATAGCTATGCTGTGCCTAGTTAGAATGTTTTTATAAACCGTAATTCTGCTAAGTGAGATAGTCCACTGCAGAAAACTGAAAACAAGTATCAGCAGTAGTGGAAAAGATTTTTTTTAATTTCTCCTGTCTACTTCAGTTTGGAAGTTGCAGTCAGCTTTTGGACTTATCTGATAAGGAATTCAGAATAGAAACTCTGCCCTGGAGGGGAAACTATGGTAGTTTTATCGGAAGTGTAAGAAAGTTTATCATAAAACCGTGGCCAAAAAGCTCTTTCAGATTCACACTTTGTAAAAGTTTTTGTTTGTGTGTTTGGAAGACAGTCTCCTCGGTAGAGAGCCTGAGTACACAGAGTTTTGTCTTGTGCAGTTGTAATCAGAATCCAACTCCACTGCATACAGTCAGAGAAGAGCAACTTCGGTTTCTCTCTCAAGTCCTGGGGGCTTGGATAGTATTAATTCTCCTTTGGGGAAGCAGTCCACCATGGCCATTGACATGAGATTCAGTCTGGAGCTCATGGTATTCATCTATACTGAATGTTGTACAGTCTACACCTGTAGAGCTTTTTAAAAACCATTTGTATAGGAATAGTTGTTTGCACTTAGAGTTTTAGAAAATAACTATGCAGCTCAAGAAGAGTGTATGTAAGCACAGTCTGAAATAAAAAGAATTAAGGACTTGGGGAACCAAGAGAGACTTTCAGTGAGGAATCAGACCCAGAAAGGCATCTGACTTGGCCACATCACACACTGTGTTAGTGCACAGCTAGTGCTCTGGAGTAGTTTGATGCTTTCCAGGACATCACCCCACCTTGTCATTGGCACCACTCAGGCACCACTGCACAGCCTAGCTGGGTACTCTTGGGTAAGCTGTTAAGTTCTCTGTGCCTTTGTTTTCTATAAAAGAAGGCCATTTACTAACGTGATATAGGTGAGGTCCAGGTCTGTCAAGTTATCCAGTTCTCTTTTTGATGGTTTTTCCCCCCTTTTCCGTTACAGAGAGATTAATACACATATTCAGCCACAATTGCCTGAACTCCTTATTTCTTTCTTTTAAGGAAAAATCTGTGTTGGAGGAAATCGATGTGATAGTGGCCAGCCTGCTGGACATCTTGCTGAGAACCATATTGGAGATCACCAGTCGACCTCAGTCATCTGGCTCCACGATGCGGCTCCAGTTCCAGGATGTCACTGTAAGATTCTAAAGCAAATGGCACATGGAACAGAACATAGTTGTGCGTGTAAAGGCTTCAGTCTCTTTGAGGGTGGGTTACAATAGGAATCTGGGAGATCTTGCCTTGGGGGAGTGTCCTGTGTGCATTTCAAATATAGATGAGGCTGTTTTCATTTTGCCAGGGAATAAGAAGCATTGTTTGTGAAAAGATCATGGATTAAAATATGTTTAATTTCAGAAAATTTGTTGATAGCTCTCACTTTGACCAATTTAAATTGCCCTGTGATTCTGTGTCCCCAGTCCCCTTGATGTTTCATTCTCTTTTCATCCATCAAATTGCTTGAGGAAGTAAGAATAGTGAAATTGAGGAACAGGAATCAGGGATCCTGAGTTTTAATTCTGGATTTTACACTGTGAATAGTAAGGATCTTAATTTGGGGAGGCTTCAGTTTCCTCAGCTATGAGATGAGAAAGTTTGACTTGGTGATTTCTAAGTAACCTTCAGTATTCACTGTTTTATGAGTCCACTACAATATAATTTATAAAATATTAAGAAATAACCTATTTGATAGCTTATGTATATGTATATATTTTCATGTGTGTGTGTCTATAGAGATGATGGATGGATGGATAGATTTCTATTTAAAACTCAAATTCACCCCAATGTTTACAGCAGCACTCTCAACAATAGCCAAATTATGCAAAGAGCCTAAATGTCCATCAACTGATGAATGGATAAAGAAATTGTGGTTTATATACACAATGGAGTACTACATGGCAATGAGAAAGAATGAAATATGGCCCTTTGTAGCAACTTGGATGGAACTGGAGAATGTTATGCTAAGTGAAATAAGCCATACAGAGAAAGACAGATACCATATGGTTTCACTCTTATGTGGATCCTGAGAAACTTAACAGAAACCCATGGGGGTGGGGAAGGAAAAAAAAAAAAAAAGAGGTTAGAGTGGGAGAGAGCCAAAGCATAAGAGACTCTTAAAAACTGAGAACAAACTGAGGGTTGACAGGGGGTGGGAGGGAGGAGAGGGTGGGTGATAGGTATTGAGGAGGGCACCTTTTGGGATGAGCACTGGGGGTTGTATGGAAACCAATTTGACAATTTCATATATTGAAAAAAAATAAAAAAATAAAAATAAAATTAAAAAAATAAATAAAACTCAAATTCAGTTGACCAAGAATGTTTTGTTTTTTTTTTAGGTCTGATGAAGAATAGTCTTCAAAACATCAGAAATGGCAGTAGATGCAGTAGTTTTCATATATATATTGACAAAAATGTCAGCTTTTAGCCATTATTTTTATAAATCCTCCATTATAGAACCTTGTCTTAAGACTGTTGCCTAGCCCTTGATGAAATTAATTTTTACTTTTACTTAAAAAGATAAAAAGTCTGCCCTGACTCTCCTACCAAGTTCTCCTGACTGTTTCAGGATGGCCACCTTACGTTAAATTTTATTTTCTCTGCTTTCAGAGCTGAGATTCACCTAAGGAAACCAAGCTGTGAGTTTGGGAAATAAAGTTAAACTCTTTCTTTTAACAAACTAAGTTTGAGATAGTATGAAAAACTTCCTAATACATGCACTAGCTGTACTGCCTCATTTAAACAAACAGGAGCAAGTGATTGTTTTCTCAGTTTCATGTGGAAAATAGTACCTACCTCATCGCGTTAGCTTAGTGTATTACTTCGTGTATTACCAAGTGCACTACTTGGTCCGTAGTAGAGGCTCAAAACGTGTTGTTGCTTAATACTACTGGAGTTTATTTTTGGTTTGAAGGTTTGGGTTTTGTTTTTTTTTTAATGTCTATTTATTTTGAGAGAGAGAACACAATAGGAAAGGGGCAGTGAGAGAAGGATACCCACAAATCCAAAGCAGGCTCCAGGCTCTGAGCTGTTAGCACAGAGCCTGACGGGGGGCTCCAACTCCAGAATCGCATGATCATGACATAAGCCAAAGTTGGCCACTTAACTGACTGAGCCACCCAGACGCCTGGCTTGGGGTTTTTTTTGTTTGTTTGTTTGTTTGTTTGTTTTTCATCGTTTATTTATTTTTGGGACAGAGAGAGACAGAGCATGAACGGGGGAGGGGCAGAGAGAGAGGGAGACACAGAATCCAAAACAGGCTCCAGGCTCTGAGCCATCAGCCCAGAGCCTGACGCGGGGCTCGAACTCACGGACCGCGAGATCGTGACCTGGCTGCAGTCGGACGCTTAACCGACTGCGCCACCCAGGCGCCCCGCTTGGGGTTTTTTATATTGAATTTTTTTTATTTTGTTCTTTCATGTTGTTTCTTTTTTTAATGTTTATTTTGAGAGAGAGTTTGTACACATGTATTTGCTTGTGTGTGTGCAGGGAGGGGCAGAGAGAGAGGGGGAGAAAGAGAATCCCATGCAGGCTCCACGCCATCAGCGCAGAGCCCCAAATGGGGCTCAATCCCATAAACCATGAGATCATGACCTGAGCCAAAATCAAGAGACACTTAACCGACTGACATGTGTCCCTTCTTTCATGGTTTTTTTTCATTAACCTTTTTTATTCTGTGATACTTATACACATGCAGTTGTAAGAATTATTACAGAGTTGTAAGA